GGCCGCCTCTCGCCTCTGCTGCCCGTGCCGCTGCCGCTCTGGCCGCCACTGGCCGGGCGAGCGAGCAGCCTGCGGGGGCAGGACGCTGCGGCGGCGGCGGCTGCGGCTCCAGCGCCGCTCGGCGGCGGCCAACAGCGACACCCGGAGGCGCCGCCGCAGCACTGCAGCCGCCTTTGAGCTGCGCTGTGGGTGCCCCGGCGCTGGGTTCTCTCCGGGATTCCATTCAGGCAGTGGAGAACTACTTGCTTAATGCAAGGAAAAGATAATTTACAGCAACCATAGCCGTGTCATACCTAAGAGGGTTTTTTTGTAGCTGCAGCAGACTTTTGATGCAGTATTACACTCTGACTTTTGCATGTGTGCTGGAGCAGTAAATGGTTTCCTCATTCACAGTCAGAAAACTGAAGCCCTGAGTCTAGTTTGCAACTACAACAATGGAAAGGCAGGAGGATCTCCTGAAATATCCGATCACTGCTCTTTCAGCTTTTCCAAACGCACTGTACCAGTTTATGCTAACACTGGAATTGTTTCATCTTCCTGCCCACATATGTCTCTGAGGATCTTGTAAAAGTATGAATTTCATATTAGTCTGAAATGTTCAGAGTTTGATTCTCCTTTAGAGTAATTATTAGAACTGAGGAAGAAAGGTGAAGCCCAAAGGTAATGGACCTGAACTCAGAACAGTGTCCCTGTCCATACCATGTCGAAGAAAAGAAACCGCACATCATCGCACTGGCTCCTCTTCTATCCAGAAAAAAAACTTTTGTGCTCTTGGTTGTAATTTCAAACTCCAAGGCCTTCATTGATAATCAATTTCACGTTTGTATTGGTTTCAGTTTGGGAGCTGCTGTCCAAAAGTCCTGTCAACTGGCCAATGCAGTGTACAGTGTGTACAACACAAACAGTTGTGAGCTATTCAATTATTTCCAACCATGAACACAGGAACCCCAAACCTCCACCTAACCTCACTGAGAAAGGTACATCAGGTCTGTAATTTTCAGTTGTTGTGCCACAACTCTGCCTTGAAAACTCATGCCCAGAGAGCCTGGAAAGTCATTGAGACCTCAAGGGGTAGGCTAGGTGAACTTCACTTATTTCATAAGGCTGCTAAGTCTCTCTTACTCTGGGCTGAATGGCTTTACTAAGCTTTAGATCTTTCTTTAATCAGAGTGACAAAATTACCTGGCATATGAAAAACCAGAGAAGCCAAATCAAATATCTACCACTGCCTCAAACAGGGCTGATTATTTGTTACTGTGACAAATCCAGGCCTGTGCAGTGTAGGAAATCACACAGAGGGACATGTAGTCATGTAGTCCCCAAAAAGATAAGAACAATCCCCAAGTAGCTGGGATTGACCAGCAGCACTGAACAGTCTGTACTCTGTTCCAGAGCTTGCCAGAGGGTGGTCAGAGGTGACTCCTGCTATGCAATAACCCTTCTTGGCCTTGTTTAATCCTTGCTACACACCTGGAGTGAGCAATGGCTGTGTGGAAGTTTCTTCCCAAGGTCCTTCTTGAAAGCAGAAACTCAAATGTCTCACTCGTTTCTGATTATTAATAGACAAAATCAAAAACTGTGAGTCCCTCTGAGGGAAACATTGGACTCCTGGAACATATAAGTGCTTTGCCACATCTCTGCCCTGAAAAATAATCTCCCCCTGTACCTGGAAGTCACAGCAGTCTGAACCCAAAAGCAAGGCCTGTAAGTCTCACTCTGGCTTGGATAGAAGGGGGTTCATTTCTGGAAATTCATCAGTTCTTGTGAATTTTTGTACTTTGTGGCCTGTTCATCTCCTGTGAACATGAAGCATATAACATTCTCACACACAACATTCTCTCTTCAAGTAGTGCTCTAGGTCATTGAGCATTTGCTGGAAAACAACACAAGTGGAAGTCTTCCAGGAAATAAAACATGAATTAAGATCCAGGTTGGGAAAATATAATTATCGCTTTGATGAAACTTTCCATCAAAAAGTAATAGATGGATATAGGTGGAGAAAGGAGGTTTTGCTCAGGAATTACAAGCCACTTAACCCATATGTCACCATTCACACCTCTCTCCAACCCTGTGCAACTTGCAGGTTTGCTTCTGACCCTTGTACTGACCCTTGTACTGACCAATGGATAATGCATCACACTCAGGCAATCAGGAGCAGTCATCCAGCAGAGGCTGGATCATCCTTCTTTTTACTTATGGGCAATCTCTCCCCTTCTTTTATCACACACACCATTCCACACAAATTTATCTCTCTGGACCTGTCTGCCATACCATCTGTAATATGACTAAGAGACACTAACACATGATAAAATAGTCCTCAGTTCTCAGCAATTTTTCTGCTATGTGACCTGCTCTTCTCACACAAATACGAAGCCCTGAGTTTAAAAGCTTTATCATGAGTGTCTTCCTCAACCTAAGTCTTCTGAGAAATTGTAACAGCTTATCCTCTGGTTTCTGTTTGTTCTTGCTCACATGTAAAATCCTTAGGTGGTTGAAATAAGCATGTGCTGCTAAACAACATGTAGCTTCAAATGCAAAAGCAGATTCCAGAAATAGAGAAAGTGGAGTAACCTCTCCCCTGAACTTCCTGTTCTGCAGACAAAACAACCTTACTTCCCTCAGCTGCTCCTCATAAATCTTGTTCTCCAGATCCTTCACCAGCTTCATTGCTCTGCTCTGCAAGTGCTTCAATAGTTCAGCATCATTCTGATAGTGAAGGGTCTGAAACAGAACACAGAGTTCAAAGTGTGGCCTCAGCACTGCCAAGTACAGAGGGACAATTCCTTCCCTGATCCTCCAGGCCACGCTATTTCTGATACAAACCATGAATGCATCAGCCTTCTTTGCCACCTGGGCACAATTCCAGCTCCTATTCAGCTATCATTTGACCAACACCCCCAGTTCCTTTTCTGCTGAAAAGCTTTCCAGCTACTCTTCCCCAAGCCTGTAGTGCTTCATGGGACTGTTGAGACCTCAAGTGCAGTATCAAGGACTTTGCCTTTTGACTCCTCATACAATTGGCCTCAGCCCATCAATCCAGCCTGTTTGGATCCCTCTGTTGAGCCTTCCTACCCTCAAGCAGACCAACACTCCCACCCAACTTGGTGTCATCTGTAAACTGATTGAGGGTGCACTCAATACCCACTTCCAGATCAGTGATAAAAACATTGACCAGGACTGGGTCCAGAAGCTTTGGGGAACACCAGGCATCAACTGGATTTAACTGCATTCTCTGCAATTCAGGGCTCAGCCATCCAGTTTTTATCCAGCAAAGAATACACCTGTCCAAGCCATGAGCAGCCAGTTTCTCCAGGGGAACCCTGTGGGAAACAGCGTTTTACTAAACTGCTGGTAACCAACATCCATAGATTTCCACCATCCATTAGGCAGGTCATCTTGTCATAGAGGAAGAACATGTTAGTTAAATAGGACCTGCCTTTCATAAAGCCCTGCTGACTGGGCCAGATCACCTGCTTGTCCTGTAAATGCCATGTGATGGCCCTCAGGATGATCTGCTCCATAATTTACAGGCCTGCAGTTCACCAGATCCTCCTTCTGGCCCTTCCTGTAGACGGGTGTCACATTTTCTAACCTCCAGTCAATTGGCAACTCCCTGGTTAGCCAGGACTACTGAACAATGATTTAAAGTGACTCAGTGAGCTCTTCCACCAGCATCCCTCGGGTGGATCTTTGTGTGTGCCATTGCAGGTTGCTGCAAAGTTGAATTCTCTCATTATGGGGTTGTCATTCTGCTCTCTGTCCTTGAATTCCAGCTCAGGGGTTTGAGTACCTGGAGAACAAGTGATCTTCCTACTGAATACTGGGGTAAAGAAGGCATTAAGTACCTCAGCCTTTTCCTCACCTTTTGTCACTACACCAGCCCCCACAAAAGACATACTCCCATCCAACAAAGGATGGAGATTCTCCTTAGTCATCCTTTCACTAATAAAATAGATATAGATACATTTTTTAATTTTTCTTTTTTTTTTGTATCAGGTAGAATAAAATTTCTTAGGGCAAACTTTTGAATAGAAGCAACTCAAGTGCATTGTCCTCCATCAGGTGCAAGCTGTGTTAACTATGACAGACAAAGAAATGACCATCTGTTTTTCTATAGTTCCACTCTCCAGAGATCCCTTGTCTTTTCTCCAACCCTGCAAAACTGGCAGTTTGCTTCTCAGAACTGTAAAGAATATATCATGAGAGGATAAAACACTATGATTGCCCCAAGAAGAAAGATACATTTGTCTGCTTACCACTATCCTTAGAAGAAACAGAAAGATTCTAAAACACAGTATTGATAATAGGCCTGCATAAAACAGGATGTGTCATGGCTTAGGGGGAATCTCCTTCACTCTTTCATCATACACACTCTTCCACCTCTACTAAGGTTATATTTACATTTATTTCTCCCAACAATAACTGGACACAAAGATACTCTCACCTCTTTCCACCCACTGTAGCATGAACAAGAGACACTAACAAAATGATGTGTTGCTAAAGGAAGCCATAGTGATAATTACAAGTAAAGCTACATACATAGGAAACCAAAACCATAAATGGCACAGGCAAGGCAAGGAAGTATTAGGAGACAAAGGATTGTTAAAGAAAGTCACCAGGACAGCTTCTTGGTCTGTGTGTATAGACGAAGTCTTAATGTGGTACACCTTATAGACACCTTATCCTGTATTTGTTTCTCAAGCTCAATCTACTGAGAAATTCCAAGAGATTCTCTTTTTGCTTCTGCTTCATTTTGCTCACACATAAAATTCCGTCTCAAGTGTTTGAAGTAAGTTTTTGCCAGAAAACTATACTCTTAATTTCAAATGCAAGAGTACGTACCAGAATTGGGGGAAAGGAAGAACTATCTTCCAGGAAACAAAAGAGTGACAGAAAGTGTAATTACAGCTATGAAGAAACTCTACATTGCAACATTTCAGGGGGCTACAGGTAGATAATGGAGGTTTCACACAGGAATTAAAAGACGTTCTACTCATGCATCATTGTTCTATATGCACAGCTATTGTG